CTCTTTTAGTTAAATTCAGTTATGCTGCTATGTATTGTTTGTCATATTAGGGTTAGTATATCATGGCCACCAGAAAAAAAAAGTGTTTTAAATTGTTTTGGATTACAGCTAGCAGGTTATGAATCATGTGGAAAATCACATATTCCAGGTGAAATCTGGGCCAGTTCTTTTTTATAAATGGGATGCAATGACCATTAGCCTTGTGTGAACTACAGTACATTGTGTCATCGCTATAGTAGGAAAGATAGTATCCTGGAACAAATATTTATTCTAAATTTAGAAACTTATGCAGTTCAGCTCTTTTAGTTAAATTCAGTTATGCTGCTATGTATTGTTTGTCATATTAGGGTTAGTATATCATGGCCACCAGAAAAAAAAAGTGTTTTAAATTGTTTTGGATTACAGCTAGCAGGTTATGAATCATGTGGAAAATCACATATTCCAGGTGAAATCTGGGCCAGTTCTTTTTTATAAATGGGATGCAAACAGATGTCGTAATTAAACAAATGACATTAGCCTTGTGTGAACTACAGTACATTGTGTCATCGCTATAGTAGGAAGGCTTGCAAATAGACTTAGAGACAGTTGTGACGTAATGTCGTTTGTGTGCTATTAGTAGGTCACATCCTATTGACTTAGAGAGATGATTCCTTACCAACAGTAGCATTAGTGCAGCCACATGATTTTTCATCTTTTGAGAGCACTGAGTTAAAGATTGCGATTGTAAGTGAAACGTCTTGTTTTATTTAGTCTTTCAAAAACATTTTAAACAGTGTAGTAATAGTTTAGTAAAACAAAATTAAAATCTGTAAATCATAGAAAGTAATAAGGAAAAGTGAACACGAGAGACATTCAAAATGTTATGACACAAAATAATACTAATAATACTAATACTAATACTAATACTAATAATAATTGAATGGAAAGAGGCACTCGTCCAAAAACGAAAACGTAAAAAAAGGGATGAATCCATGTTCTTTGTTTGCTGTCCCAGCCATGTAAAGAAAGAGCTTTGCAGCAAAAAGTTATTATATAGTGTGTTTAGAAGCTTATTGCAGTGTTAAGGTGCTTTTGATATTTCTTTATTTCTACTGCCTTATGGAAGGTAATGTCTTCGGGAAAATAGGAAGGTAAATTATTAAAAAAAAAACTGCTTTATAATTCTGTCTTGAATATATTCCCCTTAAATCTGTTCATTGTGTCCCTGATCCTTTCTTTCTTTCTTTCTTTCTTTCTTTCTTTTTTTCTTTCTTTCTTTCTTTCTTTAATGTAATGTAATGTAATTTAATTTAATTTAATTTAATTTAAATTTAATTTAATTTAATGTTTAGAAAGTAATTGTAGAAGACTAAGACATTTCAAATCAAAGCCAAAAGCGTCCCTATGATATTCTGGTCTCCACATATGGCTTTGGTCCCTAATTCAGTGTAAGTCTATGGGATATTTCTTTTCCAGTTTTATCATCCACCAGGCTAAAACCATCCAATCTTTTAGCAATGTGCACCTCTCCCCAAGAAGTTATTTGAGGTATCTTTCAAGTTTATATTATGAATGTGTTGGATGAGTCACGTGCCAAACTTAAAAATTTAAGTTGATTTAAATGTAAAATTTAAAATGTTCTTTTTGTTCAAATCACTAACCATTAACATAAGCATTAGTAAGAGTGATGCTTTACTTAGCTTGTCTTATACTTGGGGCATTCCATTTACTGTAAAGTGATCAAAATGATGTCCACTAGTCATGTAATACCTGGCAACCATAAGTCTTGGCTCATTGGTCCCAGTCAATGGCGTAACGCATGCCTAAAGCATACCTGCCCTCCCTGATGATTTTTCCACAACAGTGGCATTTTGCCTGAACTCAGAACTGTGCTGTTGACATTAGATTCTTAAACTTTCCTTACAGTTCTTATACTCTGCATGCCACCGGCTGAGATTGACTTGCGGTATGCATTTCCTCCTCTGATGCAAACTCAGCACTTGAGGCCAACCAAAGAGAGAGTGTGCTGGCTTTACTGTAGCATACAGTAACACCTTCACTTCTTCAGCTTATGTTTGAGACAGACACTCTTTATGCTGACATTTCTGCAGTAAAATCTGCAGTCACTGAAAGTCTATATCACCGATTCTCTTGCTCATTAAATCGACCATCAAATCAAGAAATGACATCTGTTAGAAATTAAAACCAAATGCCCTTTTTCAGTTTGGGGAATTTCAAAACATGATATCACACATATGCCCTTCATGGATCATATGGGCGTACAACAATGGAAGTGTTTGGGCAAGACCCCTAGTCCTCTCATCACAGGGGCGTTGACACCATATAAGGGTGTTTCTTCAACTATGTGCCCTTTCATGTCCCAGAAGTTGTTTTTTGTTAAAACTAACATATTTTAACATTTTCCTTTTGTTATATAAAGATCTTGGTCATAGTCATCTACTGTATTTGTGAGTAAAATAATCATGTACAATTTGATGTTTATTGACATTTTTTTTTTAATATATATTTTCACAAATTACCACGGCACCATTTTCCATCAAAAACAAAAATGTTGAAACTAAAGTTTTTTTGTGTGTTTGTTTGTTCAAAAGTTAGTCAACTTTTCGACCTAGTATACAGTAAGTTCAGTGAAGAGCTTGAGATGAAATACGAGGAATGTAATGCATGAAAAAGAAAAAAAGAAAGAAAAAACGACTGTGTATTTTGTACAGTATATGTGTATACAAATGTCTGTGTAATATTTTTGTCAAACTACACAAAATTATAGAAAGTCTTTGATAATTTTACAAGATTATGCTTAGGATGCATAAAATGCTAGCCAAGAAATTTGTCTTAGCAAGACAAAGTAGTGAGCCATTTTATACTAAACATATTTAAAATGTAATTTCCACAACAGAATAATATAAATAATAATACATATTTTAATAAATATTTTGACATGGTATATACTACGTGTCTCCATACAGTTGAAGAGACACCCATTAGTTCATGTCTCCTGAAAATGTGGATAAGGAAAAACAGCTCAATGACTGTAAAATTTGACCTAGATCTGGATCCTCAGAGAATAAGTTTCTTAGATAATGTCCAGCCTCAAGAACTCCAGATTACATCAAGTGATGGGAGATGTCTTGCTGTAATAGCTTTGACTGAGTACAAACAGAGTTTTGGCTGTAGATCTCAGATTAACTTTTCAGCAGAGCTCGGGTGCACGAACACACACGCCGTATAAGGCTATTTTTGGCCAGTCAAACGGTGACCGGAACAAAAGTGAGGTGATAACTTAATGAGCCAAAGGGAATACGCAGAAAGCCGGGTTATGTGGATTTGTGCAGACAGTGCCAGGCTTGATTTGGAAATCATTACGTCCATTGGCATAAAGGTCTGGTAACGCCTAATTAATCACATTGAGTGAGGTGTGTACAGTGTGTTCAGAAGAACAAAAATGTTAAGTACATTAAAGATCTGTTACAAAACCTGCTGCCTGATGCCTACACTATTTCAACCAATGACCAATTAAAATCTCAAGGAGGTGGGTCCAATTGTGCTGTCAGAGATTTAATTTGCCATTTTCCTCCTTGATTTCAAACTGACACGGCGCTTTTCACAAACTCAGAATGCATCAGAGCTTTCTGTAATTTTAGAAACTGACCGAAATGGTCTTAGATGGTAGCATAACGTTATTGCCTACCTTTTAAATGTTTCAAAATGCTGTGTAGGCATTGTGCTAAGGGCACTGATTGCATTTTTGCTTTGTGCGCACTTTTTGAAACATGCAGTGATTGAAATATCTCCATTTCATTTATGCACTGAACACCTCCTGATGGGCTCCATCCCTTTGTTGCACTTTGATGGATTTAAGGAGACCACTGTCTCTCTTAAAACTTTTCTCTCTTACTTTTCCTCCTGCAGTTCCAAGAGAATCTGGATGGACTACGGCTGACTCCTCTTGCAGGGAAGGGTGTGTGGTTATCTGCTGTGGATTTGTTTTTGCACCTTATTCCAGAACGTGTCCAGTGCCAAGCATAAATCCTGTTAATGGGGCTGCAGACGAACTGGCAACATCTAATAAGCTTAAGAAGGAGCCCGTTTAAATCACACAATATCAGATCCCGAGTATTCTGCCAGCACTTGAATTCTTTGATTAGGGGAATGTAAAATTCCACCATTTTCAAAATGATTTAGAAGAGGAAATATCAACCATCATTGTTTAATACATTTAAATGTATTAGTATATTTTAAGAGAGTGCATGTTTGGATAAAGAGATAGAAGCATTAGGGTATGTCAGACACATTTTTAGACTGCACTGAATGGAGTGAATTTGATATTCTGTCTGAATTGCTCTTGTGTGCTTTGACTGTGAAGCTTTGCTTTTTCAGCAGACTGCATCATAAAACTAAATATGATCCATTGTGATTTATAGTGCACTTATTACAAGTTATTATTATTATTCTTAAAAGTGAAGAATATTTTTCAGTTTCTCAAATAACTTTTTATTCTCTTGTTCTTTCAAATTGTCTGAATACTGGCACTTTAAAGAACCCAGAAACCAACATGTTGATCTGAAGAACATAAATACATAAAAACATAAATACACCCAAGAATAAAGCTGTTTTTAAGAGTGAAGTTCACAATGTTGACAGGCCAAGTTTGGGTCCGAACTGAATTAGATTAACTGAGTTAGGAAGCTCACTATGTTTTGACATAATGATGGTCCAAAATGTTGTAGGCAGCTTACTAGGTCTGGAAATCATGACAAACCCTAGATAATATCAAAAGGTTCTGAGACTCCAATGCCCACAAACTCCATCCATACTCTTAAATATAATAAAGGTTCCAAAAGGGATGACATAGAAGAACCATTTTTGTTTCCCCAGAGAACCTTTCAGTGAACAGCTCTTAAAAAATACTCTTTTTATGAGTGTGAAGAACATTTAAACATTTCAAAGGAACTTTTTTTTTAAGTGCATGCAGCACACAAGGTTTGGAGCGCCAGTCTTACCTTCCCCGCAGGCTCCTCTCTGGATGAAGATGATGGGCGGCTGCTGGAGTTTTTGTGCCCGGTTACTGACTCTCTTGAGTTCGCAGATGTTCCTGTAAGACTGCCCATCACTGCCGCAGACGGCCTCAGGGCTCTTACACACGCACACGCCGGTCTTTCCTCTCCTCCTCACGGTAGTCGTTGGTCCGACCCCCTCAGACACAGCGCAATCCAGACCCTCTCCACACTCCGGGTCTCCCAGTTTCCCTGTACCGCCGCAGGGCTCACCCTCGCCGGCCGCGCACACCGGGCAGCAGTCGCACTGGTCCAGGATGTCTCCGGCCAGACAGTCGGCCGGTATGGGCGGACACAGACTCTTATCGCAGCGCTCCGGACAACCGATCACATAACGCTTAGAGATCCGCGCATCACACAGCAAAGGCACCAGAATAACAGACGCGCATAGAACCCACAGATGCATTTTAATATTAATCTGTAACGTTGATAACCTTTCAAGTAAAATCTCTTCAAGTAACTTAAGTTGTGGAATACGTCACCGGACGAATAAAAATATAATGCATGTAAACTTGACAGAATTTGTTGTGCTGTCAAATGCCCGTTATTTTGCCCTTCAGTGACAGACTTTATAAAGCTTGGGGAGTATAAACAGCAACGCCGATTGGTTGGATGTGTATGACGTTAACTATGTGGGTGGGACGGGGCGCGATGGTAAACAAGGAGGCCACGCCTCAAGCATGTGTCTAAATATTATAGTAACAAATCCCATACACACCTTTTATTTAACTTCACAAAACTATTTAACATCACTGAATGAATCTAAATATATGAATTTAGCAAAACTAATTTTTATGGGTTAAATCAGGTAGACTCATTAAGCTTACAATTTCATGTTATTTTTATGGGTTAATTCAGGTAGAAATAGCTCTTAAATGTAAAAATGTCATGTTATTATTATGGGTTAATTGATAGAGAAGTAGCTCTTTAAGGTAACAATTGCAGATTATAATTTTTACAGTGTATATAACATTTTTTTGTTACTATTTGAGTCTTAGAGAGTGACATGAAATCCTGATGTTCATAGTTTTATTGTCTAAAAAAACCCCACAAAGATATATAAAGTGATATTATATAGTGTAGATACAGTATATAGTGTATATAGAATAGTATAGTGATACATATGTATATGATATAGATGTATAAAGGGGTCTTTATCTGTGAAAATATAGCTGCCTTTATTTGTTAGAAGGTCCCTTATAAACTGATCATCGTTTTTGAGTCCCTGGAATCAAATGCTTTCAGAAATCCTTGAACTTAATAATAAACATACATTTTAACTGAAAGGATGAGCTGTTTTCTCAAAGTATTTTTCGTGAAGGTTGGGGCAAGTTTCCACATGTGTTTGTTCATTTCAATTTTAATTTTCTTTGTAGCATGGCAGTATAAATTAGCATTTATCAACACTTCACTTGTTATCTAAGATACTTTTTATCAAGCAAATTTACAAGTGCTGGACATTCTACACAGGCCACAAATCTGTAAGATAGCTAGAGTCATTGTGGACATAATTGGAGTTACATTCAGTTCTAAATGTCTGCTATGGTGTGCATATGGTGTAATGCTTATTAATTGACCTACCAAAAAAAAAACCATCAAAAAGTATATCCAAAAGCCAAACATTGATCCAAGCTCATGAACTTGTGTTCAGCATTGTGGTCAAATGTAGTACTTGATTAATTTTTAGATGTGCCTGTCAGAGAGTTGCAGGTCCAAGCTGTCCTCCCATGCAGCTCTCTGAAGGGAGTTGCTCCAGCATTATGGGAGTGGATCTCCTTATGCTCACCGATCCTAGTCAACACGTTGCTTTTCTCAATATTTGTGCCTCACAAATGTCTCAATATTCTGGAATTTGAAGCCATGACTTCTTCACGGGGCCAAAAATATGAAATGAATACGATTCAAACATGTCTGATTAGAGGAATATGCTAAGGTTATTACATTACAATCGTACTTAATGATTTGTAATCTTTTGTTTTGCATTACATTCTCTAGAGCTGGGCACTGTAATTCTAAAAGTCTCACTTGATCAAGCTTGGGTAATCACAATTTGTAATTATGTGTCTAGAAAAGAAGGAGAAAGCTATGGGTGAAATGCCTTCTTACTGAACTATAGGAACTATAGAACTATGAAATGAAATGAATAATTTTAAACATGAAATGAAAACAGACAGTAGCTGACAGTTAGTCACTGTCGTAATGACTGGATCACTGAATCAGTCTTTCAACCAATTTGTTCAAATTGTCTGATTAATTCAGGAAAGAAGCATTTTCATGAATGGGTCACTCAATAATTCACTCCACCTATTCCTTCAGCAACTGGGATCATTCATTAATTTAACAAAACACTACAATGTGTTGCTCAGAGCAGAGCAACGGTTTCACTTTGGCTATTGTTGGCAAAATATTGTCAATATTGGGTCACTTAATATTAACGTCTCTGTTGCATAAAATCAGTGTCACATTTGGAATCATGCTGATATTTGAGAAAAACAGCACTCTAGCTCATGTGAAATTACTATATCATATGCTATAAATATACATTTATAGACCTTATGCGCAGCCAGCTTTAAAATTTTGTCTTTTAACTTACGTTTTTTGCGGTAGCTCTTTAGCATCACTGTTGAAGCTGGTGAAGGGGGTTTACTAATGGTGCGTTCAAGTCATGTCGGATAGATCGTATTTACAAGTTGAACGCACATAAACGCCACCACAAAGTCGTTATTAACGACTAAACTGACTTGAACGCACCTGACGTCGTAATTACGACTTGTCAACTCGTAAGTACGAATGTCCCAGGAGGACTTGAACGCAGCATTATTGTAGCGTTAACAAAAGTTATCATGTGCATTGTAAAGTTTAAAGCAGATGTCATTCAAATGTCAGTAAACCTGGAAGATTTTAAAAAGAGCATTTCATGCATAAATTCGTAGAACCTTAGCTTCATGCTGTGGAAACGGAAGACAAAAGACAACGAGTGCAGCACTGAAAAGGGCCTGTATTCTGGGGTGGTTTATTCATTTTGGTGGAATTTTTGCACAAGCCCTGTTCATTTCTGATCTTGCAGCAACTATGCAGAATTTCCTAGAACTGTGACGATGAGTTCGCATTGACAAGCACCGCTCGCATTTTCTTCACAAACTTGGCCGTCGTTCTTATTGGTGTCACTTTTCCTGTGAAAATCTGTGTTTGTTGAAGTTACTGTTACCAGTGTCACCTCACTAAGGGTGTATTTTAAAAGGAGATCAGGGGTGGGAAATCTGGGAATGATATGATGATATCATCTGATTGTATCAATTCCAGAAATACGCTTTTCACGGAACATTACAGCACAGTAACTGGATTGAATCTAATTAGCAATAACACTTTGTCAAGGTATGCCAAAACATAAAAAAAGCACTTGTATAACAGTTCACGATTCTGCAATGTATGTCCTGTTTAATAACGTTGACTTGCATTGTAATAAAGGCAGTACTTTTTTTGTGCTCAGTGTAACAGGACTTTACATATGGCTGAGGTCACTCTACAAAGTAGGTTCATGGGATTTTTTGGCTGCTGTATCGTTTACCAGGTGAAAGGCCAATCACTGAGGAAATCAAAAGCACATTTGAAGAATCATTTTATGTTTGTAGCATAAATGGTTTCTAGACGAGTTACATGTAGATTCTGCATTTCAGGTTCACCATTTATTTGATCAAAATACAGTAAAGCAGTAATATTGTGAAATATTATTACAGTTTAAAATCACTGTTTTCTATGTTAATATATTTTAAAGTGTCATTTATTCCTGTGACAGCAAAGCTTTCAGCAGCTATTTCTCCAGTCTTCAGTGTCACATGATCCATCAGAAATCTGCTGATTTGGTGCTTAGGGTGTTGAAAACAGTTGTGCTGTTTAATAATTTTTGTGGAAATTGTAATATTTTTGTATATTCTTTAATGAATAAGAAGAGCATGTTCAAAAGATTTGTTTGGTAACAGAAATCATTTGTAACATTATAAATATCTTTATTGTAATTTTTGGTCAATTTAATGTGTCCTTGCTGAATAAAAGTTTCTTTCTACTAAAAAACTGTTTGAATGGTAGTATACTGTTTTATCACTGAGAAGACACTGATGACACAAAACACACCGATGAGATGCACACAAAAACAGAGTCTGAGGTTTATAAGTAGAAAAACAGGTGCAGACAAAATATAAAAATAAAAGGCAGCTTTATAAATTGCATGCTACTTCCTTTGAGTCTCCAAGACTTATCACAGCTGCACATTGTGTTGATCCACCCAAAAGCGGTAGTTCTTCAACACTTTTATCATAAATAGCTGAGTAAAAAATTGGCAGTGTTACACACATAAACACACTGACTCAAACATCTGGACATCTGTGAATAGCTTGTTTACCCGTGGGGACCTCAATTTAGGTCCCCACCGTGACACGAGTCCCCATGAGTCTGTGTGTATTCAGGTTTAAGTCCCCACCAGAATAGAAAAACAGGTACACACACACACACACTATGCAGGATAAGAAAAAACCAGCAGGAACATGAATCATACAGTGCACTATAGCTAACACACAGATGTGTTTGACATGTTTTGCGTGGCCATGGCATGTTCTGTAACTGAGCACATATTCCCTGCAGCCGTTCATCAGGCTGTTCACTATTCCTTCCCACATAATGACGTGATAGTATCAAATGGGCTCATGTCAGATAGAGCACAGCATTCCGGGAAAACTAGCCTACCTCCTCCCAGAGTTTCCTGAAACAATCCGCAGGACAAGTGAGTCACTCGTTCACATCAGAGAGCATATATTTCACTCAAGCAACTTTAATTATGGCACATCATTTGCTTTTGCTATGTTTCAGTACTACAATGAATCAATCTCAAGTCAAACAGGAACAGAAAAATACACATTTTTCGGAAATGTCTTGCATAAAACAGAATTTCATAATTATGTTGGCTTGACAAAGCTAACATACTGATTTATTATGTAATTAATTTAATTCAATTAATGCTGCCTTTCAAGCTATGACCACTAAACTCTAACTGATCAGACTTAGAGAATTTCTGAATCAAACTTGCATGCAAATGCTGGAAATAAGAAACACAAGCTCCAGCGAATTTCACTGTGCTCCAAAGTTAAAATTTGGTGAACTCTACGTGAAGACGTGACCAAACTGACATGTCACCTCTTAGCTGAATTAAGAGAATGCAAACTTTAAACTGGCAGTAATGTAGAGTATATTTTTTACATTTGGGATGTACAATATGTTGAATTGTGTTTTTAAAAAATGCAGCAGAGTGTGACCTCATATTACAACTGCAGTGTCCATAGAAATGATCCTGATGCATCCGTTTGTATCCGTTCTAAACTGAACTGTAGTAATTCCCTTAGTTGCAGTTGTTCAAATATGACTATATCACTCTTTTGTCAAGTCGCTGCCACTGCTAGCATGTCAAACAATGTGCTTTACATAAACATATTAAAGAAATAGTTCATTCCAAAACTTCCCTTTCTGAAATATTTTTAATTTATTCATT